GGGGGCCTGCGCCTATTGATGACGTCACACTACATAATTGTTTTAACGTTTGCACAATTGCGCAAAACATTTTGATTGGTCTGGACAGCTTACTAAAGTAATTATAGCGGGGTGTAGGTTTTATTCGAAAGCGGGATTGCGGTTTGTAAACGGACAATTTTACGAAGAAATTCTCCATGGTCCCTGCGCCTTCCGATGACGTCACCGAATTTGCTATGGGCTTTGTGCCTCCCGATGACGTCACATTATGGCAACGCCACTCAAACAAACTACATTGAGCCCGCGGTCTGCATTTGTAACGAGAATAAAGAGAGACCGCGGGCGCAATTTAATTTGTTTGAGTGGAGTTGCCATATCGTTACGAGTGGCGTTGCCATATAGTGACGGGCGGAGTTGCCATATTATGACGTCATCAAAAGGCGCAGGCCCCCCGAGTCAATCTGGCAGCCCGAGTCAATCTGGTACCTACACCGGCATCATTGGAAACCAGAGGCTCAGACCTTTCCAAGGAGGGGTCAGAAGTAATTGTGTGACCATTTCAGGTGATGTAACCGGCATGCTCTTTTATTGCTATTTTGAATGCAGTTTGGTTATTATTGTGTGTTCAATGGTAAATTTCAATGAAACACGGCTAAATCTCAGCAGCAAAGGCTTTGCTTCATTCAGAATGTCTCCATTAATGTAAATCAGCATATTTGTCTCACCAGATTCCCTTTAAAAAATGTAAAAAAAATGCATTTTTGCATAATTTGGCCACTTTTGGCACTATGAAAAAATAAATTTCCCGCCTAGAACTCTGCCCACTAATACCTTTGTGGAACAAACATGCTTCAACTTATTCAGTCCAGATTTGCTTGAGTAATATTAAAGATGTAAATCAGGGTTCATCCAGAGTTTCGATTGGGTAGTGTCAGAGTATACAGCTACAGCATGAGGCAAGTTAAATTCAAGACTTTTTAATGCCACTTGACATAAAAATTCAAGACCAAATTCACAAGAAACACAAGAAAAACCTGCTTGCGACAACTTAACCCAAAGGTTTATTTTAACATAAACCACCGCACTAATGTTTCAAATTTTGAAAAGCTTCCCATACAGGAAGAAAGCTAAAAAACAAAACAAAAATGACAGATATATTTTAACAATTATTTAACTGAATTCACAAACTTTGTTTTAGCAGGGAACAAAACAAATCAGTTTTAAAGCCCCAACATAACCAGTGCTAAGTCTTTTTTGCAGCTATTTTTCTTTGTATCGTTTTCTTAGTATGTTTGATTTGGTGATAAGTGGAGGCGTTGCAGAGACAAGGGTGGAACTAAACTGAGAAATACCGGCTGTTTCTCTGTAACTCCATTTTGACGCTTTGTGTTTCGTGCTTCGCATGTGCGACTCCACTGCCTTAATTCCCATCGTTCTGAGCTTGAATGACTTCTTGCACTAAATCCACTGAGCCTCATGTATGTTCCCTGGTTTTATCCATGGAGAAAACTCTTGGCTGGTGTCAATTTTGGTTACATTTACACTTGCTCATATTTTCCAGACAAAAAGTTAATGGTGCATCTCCCAAATGTCCCGGCCGCAACAACGCTTTTATTGGTTCCGCTATCGGGACGGAACCAATAATGGAGAGCCGTTATTTTTTTTAAATAATAAAACAAATTGTCAATTTTAACGTTTTATTTAAATTACAAAAATAAATTGTAATAAAAATAATCCTATTTATGATGTTTTAAAAATTAAGACCTACAAAAGACTAATTTAAGACATTTAAATACCAATTAAGGTCTTAGTTTTATTCTGAAGAATTCAATGCCTTTTAAGACTTTTAAAGGACCTGCGGGAACCCTGAGTGTTTATTTTGGAAGAAATTTTGGCGAGGCTAAATTTTTCTTCATTTTTTCTTTAATCATCTATAAATCAGACATGGTGACATTTAAAATAGTGGTTCCATCTGAAAAATATCCCACAATGCCTTTCTGTTATACAAACACAAACAACTGTACTTCCAATTTATGGTTTTGGAGCTTAACTTGTTTTAATTCCCATATTTAATTTAAGGCGGAATTTGCTCCCAAGACCCTCTGGGCTTAAGGGGAAGAAGGTGTTTTTTTTTTTTTTTTATTTATTTATCTACAAGTCATAATGAAACAACCAGTCAATAAATTCATTTGTGTCTTTCAGTTATTAATGAAAGGAATTTAAGCTACAAATAAAAGTAAAGCTTTAAGTATTTCTTTAACCTGACATCGTTATCTGGGTGTACATTCTTAGTTTTTCATATTTATTTCCACATTAATCACAAATTAGAAAAATAAACCCATTATTCTGTAACAAATATGAGATATGATTTTAAATTAACACCTTTTTTATTTCTATTTTTAGGTTTATATCTAAATAAAAACATTAAACCCTTTTTTCAACATGTTGATATTTAGCCAAAATTACCAACGATGAAAAATTTTGTGGAATTTCAAAATAAAATTTACATGGAAAAACTAAAGATATAAAAACCCTTTTCCATTTTTGTCAAAGTTATTGTGGGAGGTAGAAAGAGCCCCTGATGTGCAGAATAAACCACAGCAGCAAAGAGAAATACTTCCAGGTGTTAAAAGGTGTGAAGAAAGATTGCAGTTCTTTTAGCTGCATGAAGCAAAAGTAAATATGAACATGATAAGTTTCAGTAGAAGTATTCAGCACTGTGCTTCAGGGATTGTATTTTTATTTTCCAGCCCTGCAGCAGAGTTCACACAGAGGACAGTGGCGACACTCTCCAGACATGCAGCGACATCCTCCTAAATGTCAACTTCTTGCTTTCAAGCCAAGTGGCTCCAAACTCAACTCTTCTAATGTTTTATCTGTTCTAGGAATCATCTGGAGAAGAGCAGCCAGGAGGAAAGCGAAATGCGGTTTGAGACCCGGCTCCTTCAGCTCCACCTTGTTTGAAATTCTCTTTGAACTGGAGACGAGCCGCGAAGGAGGCTTTCCGTTCGTGCTGACAGAGCTGGATGGCTGAACACTCAGCCCTCCTGCTTCTCTCTGCATGTCACAGGTTTTACTTGTTAAGCACAAAAAGCAACACATATTCTGCAGACGCAGGGAGTTAGAAAAGTGCTAAAATGAAGAGCAGGAAGCCCAACAGTGACAGAGAACGTCACTCTCTTACTGTTCCACGAGTCTTCAGTCTAAACCGAAGAGAGAAAGGACACTGTGCCACTGCAGATAAGCTGCTCAAACAATCAACTGGAGATCTAGCACGCTGCAAAGCTTTAATTATAAACCATTGGCAACACATGATGGCGCTAAGAAATTAACAGCAAACAGATCATCTTTTTTAAGGGAATCTGCAAATAAAATCAAAGCTCATGGTTTCCTCATTTTACATAATTCCTCGTAAGAGTATTCAGACCCTGAATTATTATAATTATTAAATTATTCATCAAGCTACAATTAAAAACGCCTCAATATATTGTGCAGGGATTTAATAGCAAAGAGCAGTGAGGTGGAAGGAAAAGGTTGCTTCTCAAATGTGCGATGAGCATCTGAAGTCAGATTTTGAAACAGTTTTAGCTTCAATCACAGCTGCAGGTCTCTACAGCTTTGCTCATTTAGACCAATTCTTTTTCTAGTCTTGCCACAGATCATTAAACCCCACTATCTCTGGAGTGTATCAAACCCTGATGAAAAAAAATCGATTTAATTTGTTCCATCGTAGTCCTGGCTGTGGTTATAGTAATGGATATATCTATCAGTAGATCTATCCATAAAAATAAAAAGGATTCCCATAGCATAATGCCACCACCACCATGTCATTGTGAATCTTCAGGGTTACACAGAGTGAGCTTTCTCAGGGTTCCTACAGCATAAGGCAAGTTAAATTCAAGACTTTTTAATGTCACTTGAAATAAAAATTTAAGACCAAAT